ATATTTATTCGAATAAAAAATAATATCAAATCAAATTTTATTAATTAATCATCATTAAACTATAATTATTTATATTAATCAAAATTAAAAATTTAAATTAATTTATAATTAAATCACCATTTTTTCATCAAATTTTCTTTCTTTAACGAACATGACAGTTTCTCAGTAATCAATCTCGCCAACCAAACAAATTCAAAGCATTTTCTTAGCATCCAAACACCCAAACTATACCATTTTCCAGCCAAACAAATGAAAACCCACTAAGAATTGCTTTTTTGCCCAACTGCTTCTGTTCTTTCCATTTCCATTTTGAACATAAAACAAACATATAACAAACATATAATGTCTTGGATAATCTCTTCACAAATCAACATATAACAAAAAAACAAAAAAACAAAAAAGTGGAACTGGGTTCACCGAATGGGTTCCACTGGAACCCAGCAACTGGGTTCCTCGAACCCAGCAACTGGGTTCCTCGAACCCAGCAACTGGGTTCCTCGAACCCAGCAGATCTGGGTTCGGTGGAACCCAGCAGACATAGAGGAAGAAGAGGAAGAAAGAAAAAGAAAAAGGAAGAAGATGATCGAAAGAGGGGAAGAAGATGATCGAAAGAGGGGAAGAAGATGGATCAAAAAAAGGAGAAGGGTAAATTTGTAATTTTTTATTTTTTTATTAAGGCAAAATTAGTTGATGAGTGAGCAGTGAGTGGGTAGTGAGTTGGCACTAACGTGACTTAAAAAAAAATTCCAGATCAACATTTTTTAAAATTATTTTTGCCACGTCATAAAATAAATTATAAAAAATGCCACATGAGCGAGTTAACGGCCCAAACTAACAGAAAGACTAACGGAGTGCATTTCGTATAGTTAAGGGATCAAAAAAATGCAAAAAATTGTTAAGGGACCAAAAATATGCAACTCACTAAAGTTGAGGGACCAAATTTAGCATTTAACCTTCCCAAATTGGACCCTAATTATTTTCGGTTTCTCAATTCTCGCGCTCTTCTCCTGAAAGATCTTTATCTCAGAAAAAAACCCCTTTTCTCCTCTCTCACCTAGGGTTTTTATTCGATCTTCCAAATTTCAATTTGTCGATCGCCATGTCGTCAACGGGAGCGAAGATCACCCTCAAGAGTTCCGACGACGAGACGTTCGAGGTGGACAAGGCGGTGGCCCTGATGTTGCAGACGATTAAGCCCCTGATATTGCAGACGATTAAGCCCTTGACTGAGGATGATTGGGTTGATAACCGGGCCCTGATGTCCCTGACGATTAAGCCCGTGATTGAGGATGATTGCGCCAATAAGGGGATCCCTCTGCTTAACGTCACGAGCAAGATCTTGTCCAAGGTGATTGAATACTGCAAGAAGCACGTCGAGGCTCCCAAGTCTGACGATCGTGCCACTTCTGTGGACGATGATGAGCTCAAGGCCTGGGACGCTGACTTTGTCAAGGTTGATCAAGCCACCCTCTTCGATCTCATCCTAGTAAGTTTTGCTCTTTTTTTTATTCTTTTTCCTCAATCTATTTCGATTTATTGCAGTTTATCGATTTCTTATGTTATATCCGTAATTTGTCTGGATGGATTGTTACTGTATCTTAATTTGTTGAAAATTTAGAGTTTACTTTGCTAATTCCCAATTCTTTCTGCTTTTGCATGTGCTTTAGGATCCGAAACATTTGTCTTTCATTAATAGATAGAATTGTTTATGTATTCAATCTTTGCAATTTTCAGGCTGCAAACTACTTGAATATCAAGAGCTTGCTTGACCTGACGTGCCAGACAGTCTCAGATATAATCAAAGGCAAAGCACCAGAGGAGATCCGAAACACATTCAACATCATTAATTCCTTTACACCTGAGGAAGAAGAGGAGGTTCGCCGGGAGAATCAATGGGCCTTTGAGTGAATGATGTCCACCCTGGAGAAGACCTTTGAGTGGTTTTTAGTTTTCATGTCATGTGCTGAGAATGTGGGGTGCTGTGTCAATCTAATGTTTATCGTTCAAACTTTTTTAAGTTTAGCAAAGTACCTTAAGTAATCTTCTCAAAGTTCTGCCTACCAACAGTTGTTATTTTGCTACCCTTTATTCAACTTTGATGTTTCATTGGGATCTTTCAATGTTATTATCGAATATGTTGTTTCTTCTGGTTAGTTTCTGGTTTTCATTCTCTCCCATCACAACCTCATCAGTCATAACTCAACTTTGGTTACTTTTGTGCTGCATATATTTGTCTAATGCCATCTGGTTGGAATGCAGTGTGCAGAAGCATAGAAAATACTTCCAAATAAGAGTCTTATGCGGCATTAATTTTTTGGGCTACATCAGTTCAATTTTGATAGCTCAAAGCTTTGGTGATATATAAATAGAGTATCATCTTTGAAATCATACAAGGATGACGCTTCCAAAGCCAGGATGCATGCCCATTACATTGAATTGCCTAGAATCCTTGGTTTGTGCATTTTTCATACTGCTGTATTGCCTGCTAAAATTTTGGCACTTGTAGTCAACTTTGCTTTAACTGCTTAGAACAATGGACTCCAGACTTTATGCTTTTCATTTAACCATGTAACGTACATGTTTATCAAATGGATTTGCCAGGGAGAAAATTGCTTGGGAGGAAACTTCTGACTGTTGTTTGTAAATTACAGTTTGTCTGGGATTGCTTTGACATTTATGCCTGCAGATGCATCAATGCTTACTTTGTAGACTGTTTCATCATCTCCAACTACATTGGTAAGGGTTCTGTTCTTTTTCTGCTCTCTTTTATGCTGATTTTGAAAATTAGCTATTGATGGATGATTGACATCATATATAGAGTTAATGCTTGAATGCAATGGGGCATGTTAAACCTTCTGGCAAAACATTGGAAAAGGTTATGTGTTGAGTTACCAATACCTTGGTGAAAAACATTGTAGACATCAGATCAGAGTTTCTTAAAAGTATTATTCGGATTTTCTTAAACGATTTCAGCTTTTAGAACGGTGGAAGTTGCAACTATAGATCTGAACTTCTGAAGCTTCTGAAGCTTCTGAAGTTATAAATTCAAGAAAACTTTTAGGGCATGTTCGGTTGCCCAAGACCTCGGAAATAATATACAGGGAAGTTGTGAGCTGTTGAGCAATGGCTTACACTTGGAAAATTGTTTTTCTTTTTTCAGAATTAAAGGCATATAAGCACTTATATTCAAAGGTATAAATCAATTATATACCTTGTAAAGGGCTTTCTAAAAAAATATTTCAGAGGATTTGGTTCTTGGATATATAGTGGGTAATGCTAGTGAACTTAGTTCTTTTGCTCAATCAAATTTGGGTTTTGTATCCCGATCTTGATCATAGTGATTGAGGATGTTGGCGCCGATGACGTGATCCCTCTGCCTAACGTCACGAGCAAGGTCCTGTCCAAGGTGATTGAATACTGCAAAGAGCACGTCGAGGCTGCGAATTCGGACGATCGTGCTACTTATGTGAACGATGAGCTCAAGGCCTGGGATGCTGACTTTGTCAAGGTCGATCGAGCCACCCTCCGCGAGCTCAAGCGGGTAAGTTTTGCTCTTTTTATTTTTTCTCAATCTATTTCGATTTATTGCAGTTCATTTATTTCTTATGTTATATGCTTAATTTGTCTGTGTGAATTGTTACTGTATCTTAATTTGTTGAAAATTTAGAGTTTATTTTGCTAATTTCCAATTTGTTCTGCATTTGAATGTGTTTTGGGATCCGAAACAGTTGTCTTTCGTTAGTAGATGGAATTGTTTATGTATTTAATCTTTGCAAGTTTCAGGCTGCAGACTACTTGGAAATCAAGAGCTTGCTTGATCTGATGTCCCAGACATTGGAGGATATCACCCTCATGAGTTGCGACCACAAGACGTTCGAGGTGGACAAGTCGGTGGCCCTGATGTCCCAGACGATTAAGCACTTGATTGAGGATGTTTGCGTTGATTACGGGATCCCTCTGCCTAACGTCGAGAGCAAGATCTTGTGCAAGGTGATTGAATAGTGCGAGAAGCACGTCGAGGCTCTCAAGTCTGACAATGAGCTCAAGGCCTGGGATGCTGACTTTGTCAAGGTCGATAACGCCACCCTCTTCGATCTCATCCTAGTAAGTTTTGCTTCTTTTTCTTTTCTTTTTCCTTGATCTATTTTGATTTATTGTAGTTTATGGATTTCTCATGTTATATCCGTAATTTGTCTGGATGGATTGTTACTGTATCTTAATTTGTTGAACATTTAGAGTTTATTTAGTTAATTCCCAATTCGTTCTGTTTTTGAATATGTTTTAGGATCCAGAACATTTGTCTTTCATTAATAGATGGAATTGTTTATGTATTCATTCTTTGCAATTTTCAGTCCGCAAACTACTTGAATATCAAGAGCTTGCTTGACCTGACGTGCGAGACAGTCGCAGATATGGTCAAAGGCAAAACGCCAGAGGAGATCCGAAAGAAATTCAACATCAAGGATGACTTTACACCTGAGGGAAAAGAGGAGGTTCGCCGGGAGAAGCAATGGGCCTTTGAGTGAATGATCTCCACAATGCAGAACACCTTCTGGTTTTCATTTGCTGAGAATTTAAGTTTAGTAAAGTACCTTAAGTAATCTTCCGAAATTTCTGCCTGCCAACAGTTGGTATTTTGCTACCCTTTATTCAACTGTGATGTTTCATAGGGATCTCTCAATGTTAATATTGAATATGTTGTTCCTTCTGGTTAATTTCTGGTTTTCATTCTCTCCCATCTCAACCTCATCAGTCATCACTCAACTTTGTTTATGTATTTTGATGTGATCTTTGTTTACTTTTGCACTGCATATATTTGTCTAATGCCATCTGGTTGGAATGCAGTGTGCAGAAGCATAGAAAATACTTCCAGATAAGGGTCTTATGGAGCATTTTTTTTGGGGGCTATGTCAGTTCAATTTTGATAGCTCAAAGCTTTGGTGATGTATAAATAGAGTGTCATCCTTGAAATCATACAAGGATGACACTTCCAAAGCCAGGATGCATGCCCATTACATTGAATTTCTTAGAATCGTTGTTTTGTGCATTTTGCATACTGCTGTATTGCCTGCTAAAATTTTGGCACTTTTAGTCAACTTTTGCTTTAACTGCTTATAACAAATGGACTCCAGACTTTATGCTTTTCATTTGACCATGTAATGTACATCTTTATCAAATGGCTTTGCCCGGGAGAAAATTGCTTGGGAGGAAACTTCTGACTGTTGTTTGTAAATTACAGTTTGTCTGGGATTGCTTTGACATTTATGCCTGCAGATGCATCAAGGCTTACTTTGTAGACTGTTTCATCATCTCCAACTACATCGGTAAGGGTTCTGTTCTTTTTCTGCTTGCTTTTATGCTGATTTTGAAAAATAGCTATTGATGGATGATTGACATCATGTATAGAATTAATGCTTGAATGCAATGGAGCATATTAAACCTTCTGGCAAAACATTGGAAAAGGTTATGATTGTTGAGTTGTCAATACCTTGGTGAAAAACAGTGTAGACATCAGATTAGAGTTTCTTAAATGTATTATTCGGATTTTCTTAAACGATTTCAGCTTTTAGAACAGTGGAAGTTGAAACTATAGATCTGAACTTCTGAAGCTTCTGAAGTTATAAATTCGAGAAAACTTTTAGGGCATGTTTGGTTGCCCAAGACCTTAGAAATAATCTACAGGGAAGTTGTGAGCTGTTGAGCAATTGCTTGCACTTGGAATAAATTTTTTTTCAGAATTAAAGGCATATAATCACTTATATTCAAAGGTACAAATCAATTATATACTTTGTAAAGTGCTTTCTAAAAAAATATCTCAGAAGATTTGGTTTTGGGATATATTATTGCTTAACAAAAAAAAAGGAATTAATTATATCACATAAATGCTCATATAATCAAAATTATGTCAACAATATAACCAATTATATTGTAATTTTGGGATTTGTGTTAGGAAAGTGAAAATCCTGATCGTAGTTGGCTGGCTCTCCAATGTGGGTTTCTTGAGATATTCTTTCTGGGTTTTTTAGTAACCAAACAGGCCTTAGCCTCCAGTGCAACGGGCATTCCCTTGATTTTATCGAACTCATGCATTAACGAGGAGAAGAAATGGTTATATCCAACGTGCATTCCCATGTTTGTTCCTTGTTCAGCTTGCAGCATCTTCATTGCTATGATTTCTCATATTTATCATGGGGTTCATAGGAGATTTATGGAAATTTGCAAAATTTGTGCCTTCAATTTACTGTTGGAGAAGAAAATCCCTTCCTTTGAACATCTACGACAAGACCAAAGAAAATAGATCAAAGAAAAAAAAAAAAACGTTGCCTTGACTCTCTCGAGAAAGTTCCCATTACCAAGCCCCAGAAGAAAAAGAAACAAAGAAACCACCTACGTGTAAATCTGCTACCATTTTCCTCCGAAACATACAGATCTGCTTCCATTTTCCCCAGAAACAAACGAGCGGAATGGTTCCATCAAAACAAAGAAACACAAGGAAAATAGCAAGTTGCTAACCGCCAAAGGTTGATCTACCTTCACCGTCTGCGGTCAGAGA